TCTCAAGGCTGTAACAGGCTTTCTTGGATGGGCAGACTTATTATTAGTTATGAATTCTCAGCCTCATCTTATGCTTGTCCCACTAGCTCTTATTACTTAATTTAATCTGTGTCTCTTCATCTATGTTTTGACTCAGGGATTCTTACTTTTCTTTCATTCTGTATGTCCTACTCCATGTCTGGCTGGCTGGCTGGCCCTAGGCATCTCCCTCACTTTCTCTCCCTTTCTCTTTTCTCATTGAACCTAAATTCCTCCTCCTACCTATTCTCTCTGCTCACCAGCCCAGCCTATCCCTCTACTGCCCAGCTATTGGCTGTTCTGCTTTTTATTAGAACAATCAGGTGCCCTTAGGCAGGCAAGGTAAAACAGCCACACACCTTTACATAATTAAACAAATGCAGCATAAACAAATGTAACATACCTTTGCCTAATTAAACAAATGCAACATAAACAAGTCAACATACCTTTACATAGTTAAATATTCCACAACATAAACAAACGTAACACATCTTTACGTAGTTAAAGTAATATTTCACGACATAAGGTCTGATCTCTGGGAATCTTGCTAGGACCTCCAGAAATGTTGTGGGGTTTCCACCAAAAGCACAGAAACCATATCTTAGCTTGACACACTTCAGGTAACAAGAACAGTTAGCCAGAAGTAGAACTATAGAAGCCAAAAAGCAAGGTTAGTACATTCCCAGAACTATGAACTTTGATGGATTAGGCCTTTGTTTTCATTTTGGCAAGTGGTATTATCTACTTGCTAAGTTTTACGGGATGAATGGTACTTCCATTAAGGAGTCTGTTGTGCAAGGGTCTGGGGACCTGTTAACAATACTGAGACATTTAACTTTTCCAAATATTGCAAGACATGTAACATTGTTGCCCTGACTGTGAGTAAAAGCTAGCCTTGTTAGTTTTGAATTTTCAACAACACTGACTAAATTTCTGCATCAGTATCAATAGGGGATATACATGTGAAAGTTCTTTGACAACTGAGGACTTGTGAAACCGCTTAGCCAGTCAAGTGCCTGAGGAAGGATCTCTAGCCCCCATATGTTCACACTCTCATATGTATGCACGGGCACACATGTGCTCTCACGCACACGTGCGCGCACACACACACACACACACACACACACACACACACACACACACACACACACAGTTCTTCAGCACCAGATGTGGTGGTATACAACTGTAACCCCAGCTCTTAGGAAGCTGAGGCAGAAGAATCACAAAATTCAAGGTCGGCCTGGGTTGCATAGCAACACCTTTTCTCAAAACACCAGATAACAGACACATAAATAAATAGGTAAATAAAAACCTTCTTTGATAATTTTTAGGGGTATAAAGAGGTTCTGAGACTCAAGTGCTTGAGAACTGCTAAGGGTTGATGTCTCTCCATTGTTATGTATCCATTCCATGTAATGCATTTCATATGATAATTCTTTATTCTAAGTCATAGAAATGAGAGCACTGGGTATTTTCCTGTTTTCACAGCACTAAAACTATTAGGTTCTCTGATGATCCGACTGTGGTTTAGCATTTTAATGCGTTGGATTTTCACTGCCTTGAACCACTGGCCAGTCATCCTTGCAGCAAATGTGGACTTTGCTGCCCTCAGCCTGTTGTATTCAGCCTGCCACCATCACAGTTTTTATTTGTGTTTTCTGTAGTAAAAAGTACATCCCTCTCCCTTCTCCCCCCTCCTCTTTCTCTTTTTTCCTCTCTCCCTTTCTTTTTTCTCTTTTCTTGTTTTTCTGTTTTTTTCACCCCATCTTCCTTTTGTGTCAGCATAATGACATTTTAAAGCAACTCTTTCTTGTTCCCCATAATTTCTTCATTAAGTACATTTTTAAAATACATACCTTATTTCCTACATCCAAGTCAACGACTTCACTGCTAATCATATCAGGCTAAGAAATCGGTATTATTCTCTCCCCACTGGGAAGAAAAAGGAATCCTGTCTGTGGTGTGTCTTGGTAGCATAAGGCTTTTCTAAAGACACTCCTGCACCTGGCAGTCCTGAGAAGACTGTGTCTCCCACTTACATCTCAGCCTTTCTATCCCTGTCTGCTGCACCCTCAGCTCCGGCCCCAGCTCTCTGCTGCTCTCAAACCATTATTGTCTTCTGGAAGCAGCCATCACAGCTGTGGCCTTTGTTGACAAATCGTCTCATCTCCTCTGGGCCTTAAATTATTTCCTCTGAAGTGGAAAGTCACTGGATGTTTCCAGAGACTATCTTAGAGTCGTAACTCGGCTTCTCAGAACTCTGAATGGTTCCAGTGTCTTCACCCTCTATCCCCCAGCTCTGGTCAGAGGACAGATAACTCATTCTTGACACTCTAGCTTTCCTACAGTTCTATTGTAACTTGTACTGGGGTGGGTTTTTTGATTTGGATAGTTGGTTTTACATTGAAAAACTGAACAATGACAAGTCTTAAATTCTTTAATAGAATCTTGCTACAGATACACAAAAGTGGTTATTTCTGTCTTGTCATGAGAAATAAGTTCTTTTTTTTTTGTATTGCAATCTGTTCTTATTTAAATTACAAACAAGCTTGTTTCACATGTCTATCCCAGTTCCCTCTCCCTCCCCTCCTCTCCTGCCTCCCACCAATCCACTATCCCATTCCCTTTCTGCTCCCCAGGGGGGTGAGGTCTTCCATGAGAGATCTTTAAAGTCTGTCATATCATTTGGAGCAGGGCCTAGGCCCTCCCTCATGTGTCTAGGCTGAGAGAGTATCCCTCTATGTGGAATGGGTTCCCAAAGTCCATTCGTATTCTAGGGATAGATACTGATCCACTACCAGAGGCCCCATAGATTGCCCAGGCCTCCTAACTGACACCCATGTTCAGGGGGTCTGGGTCAGTCCTATGCTGGTTTCCCAGCTATCAGTCTGGGGTCCATGAGCAACCCCTTGTTCAGGTCAGCTGTTTCTGTGGGTTTCTCCAGCCTGGTCTTGACCCCTTTGCTCATCATTCCTCGCTCTCTGCAACTGGATTCCAGAGTTCAGCTCAGTGTTTAGCTGTGGGTACCTGTGTCTGCTTCCATCAGCTACTGGATGAAGGCACTAAGATGGCATATGAGGTAGTCATCAATCTCATTATCAGAGAAGGGCATTTAAGGTAGCTCCTCTGTTGCTTAGATTGTTAGCTGGTGTCATCTTTGTAGATCTCCAGACATTTCCCTAGTGCCTGATTTCTCTGTAAACCTAAAATGTCTCCCTCTATTATGGTATCTCCATTTTTATATTCTATTCTTCCCCTGAATCAACCTTCCTGCTCCCTCATGTCCTCCTCTCCCCTGCTCTCTCCCCTTCCCTTTCTCCTAATTCCCATGTGCCCAATTTGCTCAGGAGATCTTGTCCATTTCCCCTTCTCTGGGGGACCCTGTATGTCTCTCTTAGGGTCTTCCTTGTTTCCTAGCTTCTGTGGAGGTGTGGATTGTAGGCTGGTAATATTTTGCTCTATGTCTAAAATTCATATATGAGTGAGTACATACCATGTTTGTCTTTTTGTGATTGGGTTACCTCACTCAGGATGGTTTCTTCTAGTTCCATCCATTTGCCTGTGAATTTCAAGATTCCATTGTTTTTTTCTGCTGAGTAGTACTTCATTGTGTAAATGTACTACATTTTTTCCATCCATTGGCTTCTTGAGTTCTTTGTAAACTTTGGAAATCAGCCCTCTTTCAGATGTGGGGTTGGTGAAGATCTTTTCCCTTTCTGTTGGCTGCCGTTTTGTCTTATTGACTGTGTCCTTTGCCTTACAGAAGCTTCTCAGTTTCAGGAGGTCCCATTTATTAGTTGTGGATCTCAGTGTCTGTGCTACTGGTGTTATGTTCAGGAAGCGGTCTCCTGTGCCAATGCGTTTGAGGGTATTTCACACTGAGAAATCAGTTTCTAACTGCTGGTGTGTCTCCCCTCTTGGTCCTTCTCTTGGATCATTTTTACCTGGTTCTATGCTAGTTTTGCTTCAAGCACACTGGGTCCCTCAGGACCTTATGGCCCCAGTTCTAAAATCCCAGCTGTTTAAGAGGCTGAGGCAGGAGGATCACAAGTCTGAGGATACAGAGCAAGTGCAAGGTCAGCCTGGGCAACTTATTGAGACCCAGTTTCAAAGTAGAGGCAAAAAAGTAGAGACACTACAGCTTACAGGAGAGCTGTCTGACTGTAGCTCTGGGTGGTCTACCTCTTCTGGTCTGGCTTCCTCGTCCCAGCATCCTCTTGTGCTAGTTGCTCCTCCCTAGCATCTACATAACCCAGTTTAACAGCCTACTGCCTTTCTTCCTGTTTTGTTACCCACTGTCCCTTCTTTCTCCCTGTTAAAGAAATAAGGGTGCTTTCCAATGCTGAGCTTCAGGTTCCTGCCATCTGGGTCTGGCTGGGTCCCATCTTCTCTTTGATATTGTAACACTTTTTCATTGAGCTTCACTACGGCTTCTTTGCTTTAGTTTGGTTGTTATTTTGTTTTGCTTTGTTTTGTTTTCTCCTAAGGCATGCACATTTTTTCTTGAGCTTATTTTGCTGTTTTGTGCTGTTAATTTTAATTGCTTCCGACTGGGGGTGGGGTGGAGGGTGAGATTTGGCTTCTGACTTTTGGAGGGGGGGGCGAGATTTGGCTTGAGTTTGCCTCTGTTTGTTAGTACTCACATTTCCCCCAAAGCCCCACATTCTTAGGGACTCTTAGATACATTCTCTCTCTCTCTCTCTCTCTCTCTCGCTCTCTCTCTCTCTCTCTTCCTCTCCCTCTCCTCTCCTCTCCTCTCTCTCTCTCCCTCTCCTCTCTCTCTCTCTCTCTCTCTCTCTCTCTCTCTCTCTCTCTCTCTCTCCCCCCAACTCTTGCAAGACCACTGATGATGTGTGCAGAGGACGTCAGTAGGACATGCTCAGGAACCCAGCCCTGTGCAGTCATGAGCCTGGCCATCTGGAAGCCGCCTCTTACTCAATGAAATGGAGTAAACATTGTCCATTATGAAATCCACCACGCAGGCTGCCAGGGACGAATGGGATCCCACCCAAAGCCAATCGCCGCTCTGACAGGGAAGTTGGCTAGTGCTGCCTGAGACTACTCCAGCCTCCCCCGTCCTTGATGTCACAATTCAGAGGCTGCTGCCTGCCTGGGAAGTTGTTGAAAGCTCTGCAGGTTTTCTCTGTTGGACATACAGGACCCTGTCTGATGGCATTTGTGAAAAAATACCTCCTCCCCATTCTGGTGCTCTTCTTGGCCTACTACTATTCTACAAAAGAAGAGTTCAGACCAGGTAAGTACCAATGTGTCTCCTTTGGAGGAGCAGGCTTAAAACACGGGGGCGGGGGGGGGGGGGTGCT